TGGTCTTTTCACATGAATTGATACGACTATAAAGAGCATCAATGCCGATTCCAAATCTGTCTTCATTATCTGCCGAGCGCCTCTGGACGTCGAGTTACGAGCGTTATTTTTTTGAGTTCAAAACTGAATGCATATTTCGAACAAATTTGTCAGGATTGCTCAAATGATCCAATGTTAATTAAGAGAGCACTACATTTGAACAATATCTTTTGTCCGAAACACTCACACTTAACACTGCTCTATCTGAGCGCTGAAAAAACAGTAAAGTTTGATTTTACCTAGAATAAGCCTTTATTTTTTGCACCAAGGAAATATTCATAACTCGCCATTCAGAGGCGCTCGGCAGATAATGAATCAGATTTGGAATCAACTTTTGATGCTCTTCAAAGTGGTATGAGACTCATTTGGAAAGGCCACCTCGACTAATCGCACCTCCCTTGTTAGACCTGTGCGCTAAATTAGCAGCAATTGGCCGAAGATTAATTGGCTAATTTCGATATAACACTGCAGTAGCGATCTTTCGCCATAGGAACCTGTACAAATAGAAATAGACAATTGATGTGTAGCCTACTGCTAGATCAGCTTAGAATAACTGCTGACTGTCTTCAGCTTGAATTTAGTATCTGTAGAACGCTGATTATATGAGCTGTGCGTCGTTTCAATAATTACTTCCCAGTAATCCACGAAATCAACTTGTGATTAGCCTTTGCTTCCCAATATCGACTAATCTGCAGAGAATTTGGCTCTGTGCTCTTAATCCGAAATTAGAACAAAAATTGGCGAGATGAGACGTCAGCTCTAATTTTTCCGCACTCCACTTACCTTACTTCAAACACACGTTAGAAAAGAATTCTCCAACCTGATAACCTTCAACAACATGACAAAAATATTTCTGAGACATTTTTGACAAACGAAACTATCAGTGGACACATTATTCTATTCAATGCACGTTCCATTTGTAACAAACTACCAGAGCTACATAGACTTCTCTGTTTCGAACCGTCCATTGTTTTTATTACTGAATCGTGGTGTAAACCACAAACTATACATGATGCAAACATTTGCCAAAAATTCCATTATGATATTTATAGATGTGATAGAGAAGGTGATATTCAGGGCGGAGGCGTTCTTGCTCTCGTACACAGAAACATTGAGCACCATCTCGTGTTTAGTCGAAGCTCTTCTGTTTATTGTCAAAGTCTTTGTATCTGCTTGACGCATGACACAAAATGCATATATTTTATCTTGATATACAGAAGTCCTTCATGTGACAACATCTCGTTTGAAAAAGCTCTGTCTTCCATCACTGAAATACTCGACAGAAACCAAAATTGTATCATTTTAGGAGACTTCAATTCAAACTACAATGCTTGGTCCACTGAAAAAACAAAACAAAATCACTGTTTTTCTTCCACCAAACTGCGGCGACTAGCGGAAACTTATGATCTACATCAGCTCGTAAATGTTCCCACCCATGACATTCATCTATTAGATCTTGTATTCACAAGCAATCGTAATCTGATAAAAAATCTCCGAGTTCGCTCCCCTTTTTCTACATCAGACCACTCCTCCGTCTCATTTCAGCTACGTAGACATCATGGCAGAAGCTCCTCTCAAAAATTCTTGCTCGATTTCCTTCATGCAGATTATGATGAGATAATTGCTGATCTGCTTAGAGTAGACTGGCGCAATATCATTCAAAGTACACTCTCAGCAGACCAGTGTTATCAGGTCTTTGTTGAATACTGTCATGAACTAATAAAAAAATTCGTACCCAAAATCAAAATTGATCGAGAACACACTTTTGCATATCCAAGGAAAATTCAAAAATTGGAAGCTAAAGTTTCTAGATTATACCAAGCTAGATATAAGATTGGTTTACAAAAATACCGCAGGTTTTCCGCAAAGCTGAAGCGTGAATTGGCCCTTTACAGGATTTCTGAAGAAGAAATCGTTGCATGTAGTCGCAACATCAAAACGTTTTACCGCTTCTGCAATCAAAATCTGAAAGTTACGAACAGTATCGGCACTATATATAATTCATTCGGTGACGTTTGTAAAACTGATAAAGACAAGGCTGAAGCATTTGCCGCCTTTTTCAAAACTGTTTACAAAAAACCTTCGAATTCTGCAGTTGAATGTCCACAATTCACAAACGCTAAAATCGACTTTTTAGACATTACTGGTGACACCGTATACCAAGCCTTGAAGAAATTACCTCTTAGAAAATCTACGTCTCCTGATGAACTTCCTTATGTTTTTCTGAGAAAAGCTTCTCTTGGAATTTCTCCTGCCCTTACTCTTTTGTTTCAAAGATTTCTGCTTCTCGGAGAAGTTCCAGAACTGTGGCGTACTGCAATCGTGAAACCAATCTTCAAAAAAGGCAACAAATCTCAACCAAAAAATTATAGACCAATCTGCTTGACATCCTCAGTGAGTAGGGTTTTTGAGAGGATAATTTGCAAAGAAATCTATAGGTACCTTGAGAGTAACCATTTGATACATACAGTTCAACATGGGTTTCTTCCCAAAAGATCTACATTGACAGCTCTCATTTCGACAATTCCCATATGGCAGAAAATAATCAATGAAAAAGGATTTGTTACTGTCTGCTACATAGACTACACAAAAGCTTTTGACTCCGTCCCACTGAATTTACTTTTTACCAAACTTAAAGCATATGGAATAGAAGGATGTCTCCTAAAATTTCTCAAAGCCTTTTTGCTTAACCGTACTCAGCAAGTTGTAGTCAATAAATCTTTCTCCTCTACCTACCAAACAAGCAGCGGTGTTCCTCAAGGAACCTGCTTGGGACCACTCCTATTTCTACTTTATATAAATGATTTACCTCTATGTCTACCCAGTAACATCTTCTGCTCCATCTATGCCGATGATACTAAACTCTTCTGCTATAATGCACCTGAATTGATGCAAAAAGCTTTAGATGCGGTGGAGGATTGGTCAGTCAAATGGGAGCTTGATATTTCGGTTGAAAAGACGTGTATCATGTTTGTTGGAGCCAAACATCCCCGATTTCACAATTTTTACTTGAGAAATCAAAAACTTCGGGTGACAAATCTCATCAAAGATCTTGGTGTCACCTATTCTGATAATCTCAACTTTGAGCACTACATAGAAGAGCTTGCTAGAATAGCTCATGCTAGGTGTAACTACATACTACACGCCTTTCGAACTACAAAAGTTGAAACTCTTTTCCGCCTCTTCTCTACCTATGTTCGACCATTACTAGAGTACTGCACTCCTGTATGGTCTCCCTCTACAAAGAGAATGATAAATACCCTGGAAAGAGTACAAAAGTCATATACCGCACGAATATTTGCGAGAGCAGGGCTGTTTCGATTATCTTACAAATCGCGACTTTCTATGCTTGCTGCTTCCTCACTTTCACTGAGAAGAGAAATTTATGACCAAAACCTTGTCTACAAGATTATATACAAGAAAATCAACCTTGCAGTGCAAGATTTCTTTGTGTTTTCTAATTTCAACAATATCACCAGAGGACACGAACTCAGACTCACAGTGGGAAAAGTACGCACACAACAGTTTCACGATTCTTTCTTGGTACGTATCATCAGAACATGGAACGCCCTCCCTGAGAATGCTGTCAAAACTACATCTGTATTCGTATTCAACAGAGAAGTTCTAAAGAGTTTGAGACTCAAAGGATTTTTTTGACAACATTATTTACAGGATATTGATTATACTCTATTCGATGAATTCAATCAATGTTACAACAGAATGACGATGTGCTGCTGCAAAAAAAAATTTGCATCTATTTTCATTTTTGTCTTTCTTCTAATCAAATGTTCTCAAAATCACGCTTATGACTAAACATTACCACTCTCTATTTATTCATCATCTTTTTTCCAAAAATATCAATATATTCAGAGTTTTATCTCTATGCATTACCATAAATGGCGAATTTATTTTTCCTAGATCTTGGTGTTCTATTGAAAATCATGTTTTATCGGGTCACGTCAGCTAGCCTTTACCCGCAGGCTCACTGGCACTCAAAAAATGGGATATTATACATTTTCAAAAGGCCCCAAGATCTTGAAGTCGATCACTCTTGTTAACATGTGTCTATCTGTCTCTTTATGTTATCGACTATTCTGAATAAATAAAATAAAATAAGCCAAATGCAATACTGTAGGAAAAACAAAATTCGGAAGTGCGAGGGAAAAGCCTTCAAGAGAGTTGCAGCATGTTATCACGAGACATTAAATCACCTTAATCAAAATCTTCAAATCTTAAAGTTCTTCTCAAATGCCTCGCTTATTTCGTTTTTTTACAACAATATTAGGTTGATTCAAAAGTTCGGCCGTTTTGTTTTTGAAAAAAATTCGTAACTGCTCCCTATGTAAACTATTGACTTACGAAAAATACTCATAAATAGAAATTCATTTTCTAATCACATCTTCGCTGCTCTTTGACCACAAAAGATCAAGAGATAAATTCGAATATGAGAATAACTCGAACTCGTAATTTTCTAAAATAAATCATCAAAACTCCGAAACGTTGCAGAAAAATCGAAAGCATGTTTCTTATGGGTTTTTTGAGCTGCTCTTTCTGACAGTGCCAAATTTGTGTTAATCGATTTTATGAAAATTTATGACTTCCATGAAAAATGCAGAAAATGCAAAACACGTCTTATTGGCTTTTTTTGCATTTTTTCACGAAAACAATAACTAAAATTCGGGGGAGGGGGAGGGGAAGGGAGGGGAGGGGAGGGGAGGGAGGGGGAAGTGGATCGCGCAGTTTTTAAAGGTGTTTTACATGTGTTATGAAGATACGCAACCAATATGTTTCATCAAAACATCTGCAAGAGTTTTTTTACAATCAGGTCTCAAATTTTCCGGTGACCTCTACGGCAATGGCTTTACGTAACCTTTGATCCAGGAAATAGTAGCAATTTTTACACGCTCTGTCCTCTCTTATCTGCGTCTCTGGTATTCGTGACAGAATGGGTTGATCCGCAAATGTCTGCGCCTCATTACGATGAGCCCAGTGGGGCCGCGAGCAGAACGGTCTTTGGCCGATGCCTTGTTGTTTATCGCTGTATGCCGCCCATTTGGTGTCCTCATTCTGTCCACAAACGGCAAACTTAGTGAAACTTGTTTCTGAGCTGATGTCTACCAAATGAAGATTGTTTTGATGTTTCCTATTTGAAGAAGTTTCAATTCAAGATGCTGAGCCTCTTTTATCGATGTGACCCCGATATACGGCTAATTATGCTTGTCTAACAACTCTCCTCTAGATCTTGGCTATCGCTGCACGTTTCTATGACAGCTCATTTCAGGATCCTCTCATACACTCGAGCAAGGGCTCCCAACTAACTCGCACGCGAATTCTCCTCGGTGAGTTCGAAGCAAATTTTTGGTTTTTCTCCGGTAGTCTTTGGACCATGGCCGCTGATATGAGCTGAGCTGCGTCGCTAGCAATGCGTAGTTGTTCGTATCCACAGCGTGAGAATTTGAGAGTAAACAACAAATGTTGATCCTGTTGATTTTGCTCGCCAATCTACCTCAAGTTGTAAATTACAATGCTGCTGAGGTTTTTCCCTCAGACTTACCAAAATCGTTGGGGACATATAATCCATATTTAGGATTCTTATTTTTTTTATTGGAGAGCGAGTCTTCATTTCGTGCTTCTGGATGGCCGTCCTTTTGTTTGTCTGTTCATTACTGTAAACTTCCCCATCGTTATAGGTCGTCTGATCACTGTATATTTTCAATTGATCTCCGATGCTTGCTCTATGCAGAACGAATGTTATGACTACCTATTCATCAGCCTAGGAACTTTTGGCCATTAATGTTTACAAAAGTGCGTTTGTAACATCATACTCTAACTATCTTTCAAGCCATCACTCATCGCTTCTGTTATTTGAGTGGGATAATCGAAATTCGAAGTAAGAAAATTTTACTACCAAGTCAATGTGAACCTGCAATCATCTCTATTCATCAATGGTGCGAAATTGCTCTTGTTATTAGGGCGGAGGGATTAGTCAAATAAATTGACCAAGTACGCGCTCGAGGTGTAGCTTTGAATTATTTACAGATGCTTTCTCATAAAATAGATTGACCCTAATGATTAGTATTGAATATTCTAAACTTCCCACTCCTAAACCTGAGTGTGTGCATAGAGCCTGTGATTACGCTAACAAGGGAATGGTCAGAAATCGAGGTGGCCATTCCAGACAAGCTGCGTACCGTTAGATGCAGCATGAAGCGCTGACTCTGAATCTGTCTTCCTTACCTGCTTATCGCTTTTCTGGACGAAGCTATAAGCCATTAAAGACCATTATTATGCTAAGAAATTATGCGTGAAATTGAAAATCTAGCCATATAGAGCCACATTTGCCTCAATGCTGGGCCAAAACATGCAGCTAGCTTAGTTCAAACTTTTAAAACCAGAAATTGGGCTAAAAGTGCAACAATGTGCTCAATTTCGCTGTTTTTATGTATGATTTTTCACAGTAAAACCGCTTGTAGCTTCGTCCACAGAAGCGGGAAGCAGATAAGGAAAGTAGATTCGAAGTCAGCGTTTTATACTGCGTCGAATGATATACAGCTTCTTTGGTTTGGCCACTTCGACTTCTGACCATTCTCTTGTAAGCAATCTCTAATCATTTGTCGGTTAATCAAATGCGGAGATGCTAAATGGCTAAGGATAATCCAATAAAATTTATCGTATAACACCGTTTACTTCGCATGAAACTCACAACCAAGTGATATTTCCGTTGGAAGCGAAGTGATCATTCAATCATAATCAGAGCAGAAGAAATTTCATTCGTCTTCAGACCTCATATAATTTCGAATTTGACACATTCATCACATTTGCCGAGTCTGAAGATCGGTCCTTGGTTTCATTTCCTCTATAATCTTTCCCTAAGCTGTTGTTGGGTAAGTGGTAGGTTAGGAGATAACAATTATCTGCTAATCATTCTGAGTTTGAGAGATCAGATCCTGCGGTAATTTGCGCGTCGATTAAAATTTTTATGGTCGAGCAGCAAGTGACTATCAGAAAGTGATTACTTCACCTTAATGTAAGACTTCATACATTATAGAAAAGTCAACCAAATTAGTCCTCTCTAGCAAAGTTGGCTTTTTCGATCTCGTTCTGCTCTACTTTTAAGTGATATAGATCTATAAGAAAAGCGGTAAAAAATTACAATGTGTCTGGAATTGTGCTATTGCCGCAAATTTTTTGCAGATTTTGCAGGATTATTAATTTCATGGATCATAGGACCATGCAGCTTTCGAGACAACATTCTCAAAATTTCGTACTATTGCCCATTAGCTTTCTCTGCAACATCTATTTTTCGAGAATACTGTTTGACTTACCTCTTTTATGCCGTTTTTCAAAGTTAAATGCGTAAACATGACAGACGACGGTTATTTTGAAAAAATAGGCTACAATGGATAATGGCGTTAATTACCTATTCTTATTTTATTTTATTTTTAATACACTCATGGTGCACCCAACTGAAAAAACAAAAATTCACAACAAAAACAACAATGAACCCAACCTTACCTAGGTAAGAAACTCTTTTCAAATGTTTATACAAGTGAAATTGGGGTTCTAACACAATATTCAAAAAGTGTGTTTCATACACTTTATTTGTCATGCCCATTGGCGGCTTTGTCTTGTTTGGCCCACATGATAAATTTCCTGTTAAATGCAATTGTGCAAACGAACGTCATTTATTGAAAAAAAGTTACGTTATTGTCCCTTGTTAGCAGCCAATTTAAGTACACAATCAGAAAAAAACTTGCTTTCGTGTTCGTTGTTGACATAGCTGCTATGAGAGTTGGTCTCGCGACAAAAAAAACCTCGCTCTAGGGACAAAAAGAGTACACTCCGCAGCGTTTCGCGGTGCTCGTATAACTGATAAATGATCCTAACGTGTGAATTCTTTTGTGTCTTTTGCTATAGCTGGAAATAATTGTCAGGTAAGAAACTGACAACATATTGTGCAAGAATAGGTTGACGACGAACGTTCGAACTATTGCGTAGTGCAAAAGTCGTTGATCAAAGTTTGCTTTTTGCCCCCACCGCCGATTTTTTTATCGTGGCTTTCAATTTTTTTTGCTTGCTTTTTCTCCTGTTTGACCAACATCAACTTTACTTTAAAAATGGAGTCTCTCGATATGAAAACCAATGGTTTCTGTGTAAGATTTCGAATTTACGGCTATGCTAACGATAAGTTTAAAGATCGCATCGAGCGCCAGCTTCATTTCAACGGGCAAAATCGATAGTATATGGATCTTGCACTTTTAACAGAGCTAATAATTCTCTACATGTGGTGAAGCACAAAGCTATTTTCTCCATATTTGTCAACCTGCTGTAATTGTTCACGATTTTTGGCACTTTTACAATTTTTACATTAAAAAGTCGATAGCATTTGTGTTTCCGAATCTTTCCTCGTAGTAATTTGCTGTGAATGCTAGTCTTTGTCTATCAGTTGTTCTAAATTCTGATATTTTTCCAGTAGAATTTAATATAAGGTCTGTTTAATATTTATTTATTTATCTCTAAACTTCTCTCACTCGTTCGGCTACAAACTCATATTTTATGATTTTTAGCCGGGCTCTTAAATGTAAGGCCTTCCAGAAGAAGTTTGCATCATTCTCGATTAGAAATTCTGTAAAAGAACTCCCTTGTAACTCCCTTAAGAACTCTCTGTATAAGAACTTCTTGGTTTGTTTGATAATACATTCACCATTATATTCAATTGTATAACCAGCAAAGCATTCAAGAAACGTGAATTTTTCGTTAATTTTTTTATCATGGATTTAGAAAATTTATGGTTGTGTTTCGTCACATTTCTACAAAATAATAACAGTACACATATTTTACTTTAGCAAAAATATTCTAAACGGTATGCCCTCTCGAGTGAATTTGTCATTCATAGGCTGAATTTTATTCTTTGTTTGGTTGAAAATCGTTGGTGTTTGGTTTGGCTAGAAATCCTGTGTGGTCTCTACTTCGCAAAAAATGCAAAATTGGATGCCGCAGGTTCAAAATTTTGGCTAGACGCAATTGATCTACAAATCTAGAAGTCTCGCTAATAATGCTTTATGGGGGGGGGGGGGGAAGGTTGAGGGCGGGGAGTTTTATGCTGCGCCATTCATAGTTATTATAGGCATGAAATTAATCATAAAACTTGATTGTGTCCGTTGTTTAACGTTTCTCAGTCTGTGTTTTCTGGCATAGTGCCAAATGATCTTTGTTGAGACCTAGTGCAAATACCTCTCCCACGTTTTTTGAGCTCGGGTCATAGGAACAGCCGCTCATTGCGATGCAACTCACTGTCAGTAAGTTTTGTTGGCGCAAAACGTACACTTGGTAGCGAAATTTTTTTTTGAATCGCTGATGATTATCTTTGCTTCGCAAATGGCGCGATAGTCGCTCTCCCCCCCCCCCCCCGCCTCCTTCGCCACCGTTGCAGTTAAGAGTTTTCGGAGAAAAATGAGCATATCGCGGTCTTATCTCATGTTTTATCTGATGGTCTCCTTCATTAAACTTTGTTCTGAATTTCCTCAATCTTTACAATTCATCTGAAGAAAACTTTTTTCCTTTCAAGCTTGTCAAATCCAAATTCTATGCTTTTTCAGTATGCGAATTTCTCCAGCTATTCTAAGAGCTCCTAAACAACTATCCACGCCACTGAGAATGTCTTCGACCAAGGTAAACATTCAACGATTACAACCGGTCACAGCTGGTTTACCAGATTTACGTAATTTTTTAGGTCCTTACCGTGGATAACATTAATCCACAAGTGGTCACTATGCAATATGCGGTTCGTGGACCAATAGTCATCAGAGCCGTTGAGCTAGAAAAAGAGCTTGCCAGGGTATTTTTTTCGCAAATTTTCTGTCGATTCAGCTTGCTTAAACTATTTTTGCAACGTGTTCAGGGTGCCAACAAACCTTTTAAAAGTGTGATCAAAGCAAATATTGGAGATGCTCACGCTATGGGACAACATCCCATCACATTTGTCAGACAGGTTTCTAGGTTTCATCGTATTTGCAGTTGTCATGTGAGACGTTTTACCTCAACTCTTATTCTTAGGTACTCTCCTGTGTGACAAATCCCTCACTGATGGAGACGGGAAAGTTTCCAAAAGACGTGATTGAACATTCAAAGGTATGATGGCTCAATTTTTCACGGCCGTAATGCCGCGAGCGCATTTGCATGGGCGGTTATACCTCCAGCGATGCTGTTGCATAGCGACACCACGCGATTTGGCAATATTCCAGATACCTGAGAATTTTCCGTTTCCAATTTTAAACGCATTCGGCAACGTACTCTCTGATATCTAGCATATAAGCGCTACCCTCCCCCATGAAATGAGCCCTACAGATAAGTCAGCCTGCAGATGAAACCTTTGACAACACGCATTCTCCTTGTTTCAAAATGAAAAGGGCGTATCTAAACGGACTCTAGACTTAGTAGGACTTAGCTGAAAAAAAAACGGGCTTATATCCCACGTTTTTGTAATGCCAAATTACAGTGCTACGTTTAAAAAAGGAAAGTTTAGGGGCTTGAGTTATAAGCGAGGTGGTGCATGAGATGTGGCCCGTTATCGGAAGAGAATTCCGGTCACTTACTCCGTCCCTCCCCGTCCCCATCGCCCCATTTCCCCCATCAGAACTTTCCCGGGATTGCCACAATATGTGTGGACATCAACAGTAGAGGGGCAAACAGCTGTACCGATGCGGCAACAATATTTTCCTGATATTTTGAGGGTGGCTTTGGCAATTAGAAAATTTTTTTTTGGTTCTTAAGCTTAGGAGGACTTGTGACGAAAGTGCCTAGAAGGGGCATAGTCGCAGTCACGCCCTTTCGGAACTTTTTCTGGCAAAGCTGGTCTATAGTAAAGATTTCTGGAAGTTTTCTGATTTGTTTCAAAATAAAAGTAATCTATTCGCATAGTTTTATAACTCATGTATACCACCCAAAAAAGTTTGGAGGCTCGTTTGCGGGGACAGGGGTGACCATAAACCATGAAAACTTATCCTCAATCTTTTCTGCCATTTGGAACCAGCATTTGCCTAACCAATTTCACTGTCAACCAGGGAGTTGTATTGTCATATACTATATAAGTCTCTCTGGAAGTATTCCAAACACGCTTACGAAATTTGCGCAAGAAGGAACGACTCCAATCTGAACAGAACCGCTCATTCTTTGACCTCACTGTGGCTTAAGTATCGGACTTTTGATGATTTTTTTAGAAAGGAATCTTTGAGCATTTTTTTCCCAGCGGAACCAAACCTCATCCACCTTTTATTATAGGCAAAAGTAGTGTTTACCCACAGAAAATAATGTCAAAAGTACTTTTGTCAGAATGGGTGGAAGTTTGCTACGCAATGGAGATGTCATCTGCAAAAAGTCTTCCTGATAGAATTTGAGAGTTTATTTTTTCAAAGAGAGCAAGATCGCTCACCGCTTTTTTTCCACAGGCAAAAGTAGCCTCAAATGCTGCCAAAAGTGGATCTCAATAACTGAAAATTTTTTTGCAAAAAAATGTAATTGCAAAATCTTCCTGCTGTAAGCTCCTAAACCTTTTAAGCGATAGCAGAGCTCACCGCTTCACCCCCAATTTGCAGACAGGGTATTCCCGCGAAACTTCCAACCGTGGGACTTTCACAAAATTCGGTCATGATGTTTTGCATACCGAGAATGAGGCAGCTATCGAAGCAGTTTACGAACCAAAATTCAATAATGTAACCACACGTCCACGGATTTCGCTTTTTAAGCAGCTAACCATATCCCTTGCTTGTGATGAAACGTTATTTCATTTCATTTTATTTTATTCCATACGCGCAAGGAGTGCTACATTTGGAACAAAGAAAACGAAAATAGTCAGAACCTGACAGTAATAAACAACCTAACAAAAAATCCACCAACAGCTCAAGTCCAGCTCTCAGATGTGTTAGGAATAAAAGAGGATTAAGCTATGGTCTCGCACTTGCGCGATGGCGTGTCCGAGGGGCCCACTTCCGCATGCCACTGAAATCCAAAATCGTCGTACCTTGTCCGGATACTTCAAGGATCCAATGTATATAATAGCAGAGATTTGATTTAACGATTCTAATAAACCATGTTCTTTCATAAACTGACTATTTGATTTATTTATTTGCACAACTTGACTTTTCAGGCTGTCCTTAGTGAATGCGGAGGTCACAGCACTGGCGCCTATAGTCAAAGCACTGGAGTCGAGATAATCCGAAGGCATATTGCTGAATATATAACGGTGAGTTTCTTTTCTAAGCGGTGTTTCGAAAGCAAAGGTGCTGGAATTAGCAATCGAGTAGATCTATCAGGTTTATTAGTGCCTCTGCGGTAATGACAACATTCGAGCGGAAACAAATGATCTGCTTATGAATATCGATAAGTTGCCTGCGATTTGTATAAAATGGCCATAGTGCCAGAATTTACCCACAAAAATTGTCGGGACGCATGAACCTAATATTGAATCTACAAGACCATTTCTGAGAATCCGGAATAGGCTCGGCACGAGCTGGCAGCAAAGAATTTTCTAAAGAAGTCCCTTTTAAATTCGAAACGTTTGCACGAAGTCCCCTTTGATCCTAAACGCTGAATGTAAAATCCGCGAAAAAAAACGACGCGACTAAAAAAACTCGCATTTCTGTGTCTTTTCGGCTACAAAAACGAAATCCCCTTTGCTTTTTGTCCCAAAAACAATATCCAGTCTGACCCGTTGCCAACTGTGCCAAGCCCTGATCCGGAGTGATTTGCTTCTAGGTTTGTAGGCTGATACCTGCTTCGGTTTTTTGATAGAACTCAATCAAAAGAGAAAAATGTTCATGGTCAATACAAATTTTTACAGAAACGAGATGGAATTCCATCAGATCCAGAAAATGTGGCCATTTCTGGCGGTGCATCCGAATCGATTAGAAACGTCTTGAAGATGTTTGTCACCCATGGCGGCGGGAAAAAAGTTGGAGTAATGGTTCCCATACCCCAGTATCCGCTTTACTCAGCTAGCATTGAAGAATATGCTCTTGGGCAGGTACGATCATCCCTTCGCTATTTTTGTGGTGCTAATGTTTCCTATTGTCCGCATTCAGGTTGGATATTACCTTATAGAAGAGAAAAATTGGGGCCTTGACGTGAACGAATTGGAGCGAGCATATCAAGAAAGCCTCGAGAATTATGATACGAAAGTGATGGTTGTGATAAACCCAGGAAATCCGACTGGCCAGGTGAGTAGTTAGTACTCAAAGCCTGATGATTTTTTGCCTTTTAGGTACTCTCTAGGGAAAACATGGAGGAGATCGTAAAGTTTGCGCATAAGCATAAACTTTTCCTGATGGCAGATGAGGTTTACCAGGTGAGAGGAGGACTCCAAAGCCCATAGTAACGATTATGGACTGTATGCCTTGTTTAGGACAATGTCTATGCCGATAACTCTGAATTTCACTCGTTCAAGAAGGTTATCAACGAAATGGGGGCACCATACAACAAGTGAGTCAAAAAAATCTGTTGATTGTTTGTACTTGTACTGTACTATTGTACTCCGTAGTGGCGTCCGGAACCCCCCCCCCCCCCGTCCCGAGAACGGGTAGCGAAATTTTTGAGAGTTAATTTCATGGGTTATAAGAATCTGCAATTGACTTGTTCAAACTTTTAAATAATCAAAATAATCTTTAAAATCTTGAAGACTCAAATCAGACTTGTAAAAATTTTTTTTGGAGCGTGGCTGCCGTCATGCCTTTTTTTCTGAAAATTCGGGGTTCTGGACCTGCAAAAATTTTTGGAAGCATCCCACACTGATTTTCGGAATGCGTGTCTGAAGCCCTGCACCGTTATTCAAAAAAGTTTTTTTTATCTCTCACCCCCCCCCCCCCCCCCCCCGAACGGGAACCCTGTGTACGCCACTGCTTCCGTCCTATAAATAAATATCGTAGCCTCATTTTCCCATTTTCAGTAAGTGTAGCAAGATTTTTTTTCTATAATTGCATTTGTTAGGGAGCCTTGTGTAATTTATCTCTAAAATACAGGATGGAGCTTGCATCATTTCACTCAGTTTCGAAGGGATATATGGGAGAGTGTGGAATGCGTGGAGGATATGTTGAGCTTTCCAATCTCGATCCCGACATTTACGTGCTTTACAAAAAGATGATTTCTGCCAAACTATGTTCGACCGTTTTGGGTCAGGTTCGTCGTAAACTATCTCTTATTTGTTTAAAAGTTCCACTTTCCTTAAACCTCGGCATCGCTAATATTCTTCAGTCAGTGGCGTACCCAGGATTTCGGCTCGGGGGGGGCGCGACAAAAAAATTTTTCTAAGGAAGGTGCGTGGCGTTAGCCACGCACCTTCTTTAGAAAAATTTTTGGGGTGGTTCTCAAAACTTTTACGGGTCTCCGACCCCTAAAATCTGGAAAAAGGGGGCGTGGCGTCAGCCACGCCCCCGAAAAATTTTTTTACAAAGCTAATTTGAATTTTTGAAAATTTTTAAAAATTATTTTAATTATTTACAAAAATAAACAAGTCACTTGCACATTTTTATAACCCATATAAGTAACTTTCAAAAATTTCGCGACCCATTCTCGGGGGGGGCGCGCGCCCCCCCCGCCCCCCCCCCTCGGTACGCCACTGTCTTCAGTACTGCTGTGCCAGACAGGTTTGGTAGGTGTTCTTTATTCCAATCAAGGCCTAACGTTTCGACGCCTTTCGTCTTCCTCAGAGGCCTGAAAATGGCTCAAAGCGTCATCTGTGAAAAGAGGCCATCAAGCACCATCCTCATTCCTGCTAGTTCTCGATCTTCGCTCAACATCCCTACCGCAAAAATTGTCAGCGCCAAAAAATGAACATACCGTTGAGAACACCGCTATGTCAGTTTCCGCACCGGAAGTGATGGTCTTGGCGGAAGGACTAAACTATACTATAAATGCACATAGCATGTGATCTATAGATTGCATATCGATAAGAATGGAAGGAAGTCGTTGGTGACTGACAAACATTCATTCTTATTGTTCATTGCTGGATTCTTTGAAGAGATCCAGAATGCTTCCAGCGCCTTCCTAGCCGAGGTTTCCTTCTCATAGGTTAAGATTTCGCACTTTATATCGAAATCGGCTCCACCATGCGCTTCGTTCCTATGCCTGCCCAACGGTGATAACAGGGTTTTACGCCTTTTATCTGCCAGATGTTCGTTTATGCGAGTACTAAGTGATCTTCCAGTTTCGCCAATATAGAGAGCATTGCAGCTAAGGCATTTCAATTGATAAACCACTCCCGCTTGTGCACAGTCACCTATTCTACCGTACGGACAGACTACGCATCTTTCTGTTATACAGTATCGATCGTAAAGTCTGTTTCGAACCAACTGCTTTTTGATATTGTCGTTTGGGATGTTCACTAAGACAACATCGTCTTGCAGTTGTGCGCGTATAATGCACTTTCGAAAAGCCGTACTGATGTTATCGGAAATAAATGGCAGGCACAGTGGGAGCTTATTATCACGAATTTGGTCACCATTTGCGTGATGTTGGATACGCGGTAGACAGTGGTAACCATTGCTGCAAGCAATCTGAGAGGCTAAACTTCGTGACTCGCATCGTTCTCTTTCTCCGGAGCACATCTGCATAGCTGTTTTGAACATATTCCCGATCACTGCTCGTTTCGTAGATGCAGGATGCGCAGATCTTACATTGATAAGGATGTTCTTCGAGCTTTCCTTGCGGTACCACTTCATGCTAACAATGCCATTAGACAATCTGACCTGTGCGTTGAGATAGGGGAGCCATCCGTCGTGCGGTATCTCTCGTGTGAGCTTTATGTACTGCGACTGCTGGTTGAGAATTTCGAAACACTTGTCCATTTCGGACTGTGTGGACGTAAATATACAGCAATCATCGATGTAACGGCAGTACATCAGCGGCATGCGGGCTAGCACCGGTTCCTCGATTTTACTCATGAAGCAAATGGCGAGGACAGGGGCTAGCCTCTGACCCATAGCCAATCCGCGTATCTGGGAGTAGTACGTCCCAGACCATCTGAAGATATTACATTTACGAAGCGCATGGTGGAGCCGATTTCGATATAAAGTGCGAAATCTTAACCTATGAGAAGGAGACCTCGGCTAGGAAGGCGCTGGAAGCATTCTGGATCTCTTCAAAGAATCCAGCAATGAACAATAAGAATGAATGTTTGTCAGTCACCAACGACTTCCTTCCATTCTTATCGATATGCAATCTATAGATCACATGCTATGTGCATTTATAGTATAGTTTAGTCCTTCCGCCAAGACCATCACTTCCGGTGCGGAAACTGACATAGCGGTGTTCTCAACGGTATGTTCATTTTCTGGCGCTGACAATTTTTGCGGTAGGGATGTTGAGCGAAGATCGAGAACTAGCAGGAATGAGGATGGTGCTTGATGGCCTCTTTTCACAGATGACGCTTTGAGCCATTTTCAGGCCTCTGAGGAAGACGAAAGGCGTCGAAACGTTAGGCCTTGATTGGAATAAAGAACACCTACCAAACCTGTCTGGCACAGCAGTACTGAAGAATATCTCTTATTTCTTTGGTTAATTTGTAATATGTCCTTTTACAATGATTCTAAAGGTTTCTTTTATAGATCGTAATGGATTGCATGGTATGTCCCCCAAAGCCCGGTGATCCATCTCATGACCAGTGGTTGAAGGTTCGTATCAAGACCTTTGTGCAGCGTTTCGAGGGCGCAATCACTTTGATATAGCCCAAACTGCTTTATTTCCACCTCAGAAGTGTATTTAAGGAAAAAACAGCAGTCTTAGCTTCACTCAAAGAGAGAGCAAGACTTGTCCAAAAAGCGTACGGAAGTATCGAGGGAATACTTTGCAATGAAGTTCAAGGAGCGATGTATGCCTTCCCACAAATTTTAATGCCCCCAAGAGCTGTCGAAAAAGCTAGAGTGAGTGTTTTCGTCATTTCCTAATGCGTTTGCTATGACCCTTCTAACACTATACAGGTTCAACCCTTGTCCAGATTTTTTGAGGGCCCATGACCCCGAAATATTAGGAGAAAGGGGTTAGCGGTAGCCACGTCCCCGAAAAAATTTTCTCCTACATGCTGTTGAATCTTTGAAATTTGAAAATTATTCCAATTATTTACAAGTCAAAACAAGTCACTTGCATATGCATTGCATCTCACAACATATGTAAGCAATTTGTAAAAATTTCGTGACCTAATCTCGCGTGGAAAATCTTCGGTCGCTCTCCTTACTGTAGAATTACGCTAAGAACCAGTATAGAACTTTTGATTCAACTGGCTTGGCCTCGGGAAGGCGGAGCTTTGGGGCCCAATTAAGACCGCTCGCACTCGCGACGCACCTGCGTCTCTCTCTCGCGCGAGTGCTCTCTGATCACTACCTAGCCTTAATTAGATCACGAAGCCTCGCCTTCCCGAAGCCAAGCCAGTTGAATCAAATGGTAGAACCATTGTGAAACAAGCCGTCCAACAATTTCTTTCGAAAAAAAAACTTCCAAAATTGTGTATTAGGGTGTCTCCACGTGTACCGTTTTCAATACACAACTTTTTACGAGTGTTTCCAGCTTTTCTGGTGGTGAGGTCACATTTTTGACAAATGTTGGAAAACAATTGTTACGGTTCACCTGGTATAAATCAGGAAAGAAGCATCACAGCAAAGTGGAAATTTCATATACAAAAAAGCGGCTTCGACTAGCCTAGTATAAGAGTTTTTGGCTTGTTTAATTTTTTCTCTGAGGCAAAATACGGCCCTCAATGGCCTCAAATTCTTGTCCAAGTTTCCACGTAATCCTACATACAGTACTGAAGGGAGATCGGCGATTGGCTCCATACTGTAAATGTAAGTTGAGCCAGCACTACGGATTGATACATGAAAATAGGGAAAAGACATCAAAGCAAAAGAGTTATTAACGATCAATTCTCATAGAAAACTCATTGTTTTGCCATTTTTTTATCACATTTGGTATTGATTGCAAGTGGGAATAATCTAGTGGATTAATGGTCGTTATGTACATATGCGACCTTGCGAGCCAACCTGAGCGTGAAAAATTGGCCGTATGGACAAGATCTGAAAATGTGCTCTATGGCTAATTTTTACGTGTTAGTGTTGTCCGCGCGCAGGGACACCGCATAAACTTCAAATTTAATGAACTGTAGTTAACAAGACTACTATATCATATAGATAATGACGCTACTCAGTCTATTAATCTCATTATTAACGATTTATTTCAGTCTTTGAACCAAGAGCCGGACTTCTTTTACGCTATGCAGTTGTTAGAATCTACTGGTGTCTGTATCGTGCCCGGAAGTGGCTTCGGACAAAAAGAAGGCACTTATCACTTTAGGTCAGTAAGCCTTGACTGTACCGCAGTTTGAAAAATGATACACATACATTTTCAGGACAACGATACTTCCACAAAAAGAAGTGATGAAAGATATGCTGGCCCGGTTCACTTCATTCCATCAGAAATTCTTAGAAGAATACAAATAGATTGGTGCTGCTTTTATAACGTTCTGGCTTATTCACTTGTACGGGTTTTGATGTTGTGGCAGGATAAATCCTGCTCAAGATGATCGATTACCTCTTTAGGTGACAGTTTCTAGTTATAAAAATGTTATCTAATTGATACTACCTCTGCTATTGTTGGAACTAGACAGTGCTAAAAGTAAAACTTTTATTGCATTTTTTGACAGTCATACATTATGCTATGAATAATGTTGACAGCAAAGAAGTTTCACATCAAAAAAGTAGTAACAACTGGGTTGGGCTGTTTCATATGGTTTCGCTAGATTTCTAAGATTACTGAACATGCGTTGATGCTGTACCTAGACTGTTACTTGAAAAATTTGGAAGTATATCGTTGAGTTTTCCTTCAATCCAATCGAGTTCGACAAAGGAGAGTTTTGACTATTTCTGCATCAAATAGTCGTTATTGCTCCAAGTAGTAAGTCCTTTCAACAGAATGTACTCAATAACCTTGTGGAATATGCGTAGGTACGACACACCAAAAATAAATTTGTGAATAAAACTTATTTTGAGAAATAAAATCTGTAATCATTCACTTTTAAGGGCCGGGCATATGGCTTCATGCGATTTCAGTCGCGACGCGATTTGGCAATATTCCAACTGTCCATAACTCACTGTAAGCACATTTTAAATGTACAAAAGATAGGGCATTTTATCAATTTACGTAAGTTATACACACTATGCATGTGCACTTTGCCAGTGTTCGATTTGAAGACTTCTGGCGAATTGCCAAATCGCGTCGCGACTGAAATCGTGTGAAGTATGCCCGACCCTTTGCAATCAAATGACGATGTTGGCATATCAGTGTCGGGACTAAATTCTCGGCGATCTAAAATGTAACATATCTCTAAGTGAATAGAGATTACAGTCCTAAAAGCGTTGCAAAAAATATGATGCTAATGCCGAGATCAGTACATTTTTCATTTTCATTTTATAAATCGACAGTTTGAAGAATTTTTGATCAATATATTATTCAGACCTGGAAATGTTAATTTTCGAGCTCGTTAACAGAGTTAAAGGCTGCTGCATGACGAAGGCGCAAAAGCAGTCTCAGTTGAGCGGGCGCGAATGCGGCGCGCGCATATCCTCACCGTTGTAAATCCTGCGCCTCTTGCGCTCTGCGGCTAATAAAGCCGCGTTCGCGCCCAAAGGTATTGCGCCTTCGTCATGCAGCAGCCTATACAGTCGTGGCTGCTTCTAAAGCTTCTAAAACTTTTGTCTCATCTTCTTCAAATTTTCTTGTTCTAGTTAGATGATGCATATTCCAATGACTGTTCCTTGTTTTTCGTTACTGGGCATTGAAAATACTAGATTGGTGCATAGGTCTAATGTGCAAATTTCCTAATTTTTCAATGGTCCACATGTCCAAATTTCGCTAATTTTCAAATTTTATCTGAGACTCTTGGAAAAGATTTGATAATCAGCAGATAGGGCAAACTTTTTGCCACTAGGCAATTTTTTCAATTTTTTTAGCTACTCTTTTACAATTTTGCTGGACAATTCTCTAAGTCTTGAGTTCTATAAGGGTCTTATAACATGCTGGTGCACCAAGCACTGCGAATCTTTAGAATACTGGGTTTTAACACCCGATTATTACTATTACTGATTCTGAAAAGTGAATGAGCCATTTTGGCGTCAAAATATGAAGTTTAGAAACTTAGGATTCGTTACTGCGCACTCGTGAAATTTTGAATACAGCAGTTTTCTCCTCAAATTTCGCTTGTCTCGCCAAGAAAAGACAGTCGTTAGAAAAAGGAGGAAAAATTGCATCGAATGGTACGTGAGCTGTTAACTTCAGATTCTACGACGTTAAAACAGGCCGAATATAAAATTCGGTTGCCTCAAAATATACATTGTTGAAAACTAAAAGGCAGTCCGCAGCTCTACAAAACAATAGCTTTAGTTGGCAAAAGCTTTGCCCTACCTGCTGGCTATCGCAGCTTCTCCACGTCTCGAATAAAAATTATGAAAATTAGCGACATTTGGGCATGGTGAAAACGAAGGGTTGTGATTTCAGCTATCTCTCAACGAGTTACACTGGGATATAGCACTTCAAAGAGGAAGAATTCTGTATCGGATGCAACTTGTATTTGTTCCTATTGTACGGGATCGTCAGTTCGAAAAACTGCCAAAAGTTTTGCATCGACCTAATAGTCCTTTCGTTAGGTATTCCTTTGAAAGGATCAAGTCGCAAAACCAATATTGAAACGATTGGATCTGGTTGACTTTTTTTTCTCATCTTCAAAAGTCAAAGTTGAAAAAAGTACGATTTGAGTGTTTTTTAATGAACTATGCAATGTTCCAAGCACCACTAGAGGTTCATGACGTATCTTTCTTTCTCTCTCTCTCTCTCTCTCTCTCTCTCTCTCTCTCTAACATTCGCTGGATCAAACAAATTCGTAAGCCGAAAAACTATGGTGTCCTCAAAGATTTCGATACAAGACCCATGGACCGAACTGATACTTAAGTCAGAGTAATCTTCTATATATATAAAATGAAAACTCGAAACCCCCATTTTCTGGAAAGGACTTTTGCAGCACGGCTTGCTCCTTCAATAAGAGTCAATTAAACCGCAGAATTCAAAGCTGTGCATCGCACCTGGTTCGCAAGTTGGTCTCCGGCTTAACAGCCTCACTTCCCCACTTACAAGATCTAGAATAGGTGTGATTAGAATGTCATTGACTCTTCTTCGCTTCTCTTAGCTTCGTTCGCTGACATTCGCATTTCCAATGGCGACAACTGTTCGTAACAGATGCTCCCCTTTACACACATTTTTCATTTCTTCTTTGAAAAAATTCGAGATTCCAAGAGCATTTTCATTTGGAGGTTTGTCTTCTACTTTCCATTTTCGTCAGCCTATTTTCAGTAGTCGCTGAGTTATGAACGCTAAATTTAGCGCGCTTCGGAAAGATTGCCCAACTTCAGCATTGTGAGAAAATCTAATTGGATGATTAGTAAAAAGCAACATTGGCCTAAACTTGGTGATTGTTCTGTGTTTAAGTCTCTAGCTGACTCCCCAAATCAGCTCATTTGCTGTTGGTACATCAGGCCCTCTTCCCCTCTAACACTTCAACGAGAGTTTTCTGCCCCAGTGAAATCACTGGGAAGACGGCATCTCTTCAACCCTGTTTAAGTTTTTCAACTCCTCGCTCAAAGTTTGCGAAAAGTCGGAAAGTGGGCTATGTCACTCCTCCCGGTCAAAAACATTTGTGTGCGAAGTTGTGCAATCCATCCCAATAGATTTTATAAGAAAAACTGAAAAGCAACCAAGCCAGAAGATTCAGAACTGGACATCGTTTTTGGTTGAGCCTGTTAACCTCCACCCCATCACGGATCTCATTCGATGCTTAAAACTGATGATGCTGGAAGGGGTCAAGGCACTATTATGATTCTTCGATCTTCTCTCAATCCTCGATATGCGCTGATACTCCTCTTCAGTGATGACATTTATTAGTGAAAGTTACTTCGCTTCATTAATTAAAAGAGCTCCGAAATTTTGAGAGCATTTTCACTTAACAGCTTGAGCCCTTTCTTCTACTTGTACTCTCCTGCACCCTATAGCATGCTGAGTTATGAGCTTTGACAGCTAGCATAACATGGAAAATTTTTGTTCCATTGATGAAAAAAATTTGAGTGAATGGCTAAGAGAGCATCATCGATTTATTTCATATTGCCTCAATACAAGTCAACATCAAGTAAATTTCCAGTCACTCAAACGCTTTAAATCCCTATTCTCCTCTCTCCTGTTTCCCTCCCAGCGTCTGCGACTGTACTGGATTGTGTAGGAGCAAAAAAATTTCAAGCGGAAGGATAGCCTGTTCTGACCATAATAACCAGGGTAAAGCGGGGGGTGCGGCACGCCGCAGAGGGGGGTCGTATTGAGGAGTCAAAAGGGGAGGGGGTCGTAGTTAGGTGATCTGATTATAGCGATAACATGATATTCGTATCATATCCATAATTAGCACGTCAATTAACCCCTGTAGACAAAGTGTGAGCGAATTCTGAAGATTCAAGATACTAGGCTACCTAAGTGAAATGGTCAAATTCCAACATGGTTAACTTTGTTTTAAAGGTGAATTAGCTATCCGTTTTTGCACTCAAGACAAAGCACTACTCCTTCTTTGTCCACCTCAGGAATCCCGCTTCAGAAGACCTCCAAACTGTGGAATTAGAAGCCAACCAAAATCTCATTTTTCCCATTTTTCGCTTTTGATCGCTGTGCTTTCACCAAATATTACTCAGAGCTAAGAAGACGAATCAGGCTCAAAACATCCCTATGGAATCTACGAGGTTTAGGCTATCGATTCATATAAATATTGTCCGCTAAAAATGTTTTTTTGATATAGTTAATGGCCTGCGGCACCCCCCCCTCAAAACCTGCGGCTGCCGCAGGGGTGCCGCAGGGGTGCCGCAGGCCATTAACTATATCAAAAAAACATTTTTAGCGGACAATATTTATATGAATCGATAGCCTAAACCTCGTAGATTCCATAGGGATGTTTTGAGCCTGATTCGTCTTCTTAGCTCTGAGTAATATTTGGTGAAAGCACAGCCATCAAAAGCGAAAAATGGGAAAAATGAGATTTTGGTTGGCTTCTAATTCCACAGTTTGGAGGTCTTCTGAAGCGGGATTCCTGAGGTGGACAAAGAAGGAGTAGTGCTTTGTCTTGAGTGCAAAAACGGATAGCTAATTCACCTTTAAAACAAAGTTAACCATGTTGGAATTTGACCATTTCACTTAGGTAGCCTAGTATCTTGAATCTTCAGAATTCGCTCACACTTTGTCTACAGGGGGTATTTGACATGCTAATTATGGATATGTTGTCCATTATGTTTGACAGAGCCTTCAGGTAATACTATCTTAAGTGTATAGTTTAGGAGGGGGGTCTTATTAAGACAGCAATCAGGGGGGGGGGGTCGTATCCGACGGTCGAGTGCCGCACCCCCCGCTTTACCCTGATAATAACCCTTTAGGCAGTGTCCTTACAGATTCGGGGGGCCTTAGTTTAGACTGTGTACTGAAACAAACCGCAGCCCGATTTCGACCGGCCAGTATGGCTCACCGACACAGCCGCCCCTCAGCTTGTCGCCGGGAGAGAGCTTCGCAGCAAATCCCGGTTTT